CAAAGAAAAAACCCACAACAGAACTATAAACCCAACTAACTGCATTACCTTCTTCTCCTGGGGGGAAAGACAGTAGAGTCCCTTCTTCCTCCTTTATAACACCTCTAACAGTGTCAGACATACATTGCCATCGCCTTTTTCAAAAATCCTTAAAATACCAATGATATCTGGATTGCTCTCAGTTGGCTGCACACACATGCAGAGCCTTCCTGAAGGCCACCACGTCCCACGGGCCACATGGAGAGACTCCGACAACATCCATGAGGACTGCCAGAGTGGTACCATCTCCTTGGAAGCTGAAGCAGAACTGGTGCTTAGAGAAGCTCCAAGAGCAGGCAAGCAACAGAGAATGGGTTCCCTTCTTCCCCTGCCCAGGAAATCTGCCTTTTCCAGGGTAGCTACCTGGAGGCAGAGCTGAACCTCGTCCTTCTCCATCCTGGCTGGGGTGACATGGAGCGTCCACAGAGCGCCCTTGCACAGACCATGCTGGGGAGTGGCGTGGGCAGAAACCTGCAGACACGCTCCCTGTGCTGGCTGCAAGGGAAAGCCTGGCCGTAACAGTTCCTCTCTGGGGACACGCGCAGTGACCCTAGCACCCGGAGCATGACCTGCCTCATGGCTAAAAGGCTACGATCTGCTGTGTCTGATCCCCAGCTCCCGTCTCAAAGGGCTGAAATTCACCTCAAACCACCTGGAGCCCATCTCCAAATGAATAATTCCTTCAAGTCTGGTTTAATCCATCTGCAAATGGCTCCACTCTTTGGCCTGCCACGACACAAATCCCCTCTAAGCGCCTAGACCAGGACAGCATCCGTGTGTACGTGCACGTGCTGAGTGCATGTGTGGTGGGGGAGCTATTTGCTAGTGACCACAGGTATCTCCCCCTGTCCTGGCAGATGAACAGCACCAAGGCTCAACTCCACTCGCTGTGAGTTTCCACCGTGACTACCTTTGACAAAGGAGGTGTCTGCCACAGCAGCTCAGGGGTTGCAGAAGGTGCACCTCTGATAGCTGTCACTGCCTCCCATTTTCTGTCCATCTGCAGAACGAGATGGGGACTAATTCTCATGTCCTGCAAGGAAGATATACACTGGATGCTGAGCAGACATCCAGTTTCAATACCCTTGACAAAGTAGCTCTTCCATCTTTTTCTTATTTAAATAAGAAAGAGGAACTTGAGGAATAGTATTAGCATAACATTGTATAGGATGCTTCAAATTTGTAAGTATTACTAAAGAATACTGGGGTGCCTGCATGATCCATAGTATAACATCAGTGAATGGTGAGAAAGGAGAGGAGAAACAATTTTTATAAAGCACAACTATCTCTCCACGATGGTAAAAAAGGTTCAGTAGACACTGCTGCATCTCCTCATGCACATGTTTTGTTTGTAAACTTTACTGCAAAATCTCTGTGTGGTAACAGCATGCATGTTTCAAAGGTGAGCCAGAATGCGTTCAGCAGAAAAATTCTGGATCGTGAATAGCCTTTAGCCATGAAGATTACCCATACATTGAAAAAAAAGAGTACCAACTGCACAACCAATCCTGCAGTACCACCACTAGCACTTGAATAGCCCTGCCTCTAACCTGTGCATCGCACAACGACTTTGTATTTCATAAAAACATAACCAAAGCCAAGCATTATTGGTGTTGCTGGATCCTTTGGCATTACCTGCCTCTGCAGATCAGCCTGTAATGATAACGAGAGCTTGTGTCTGTTAATTTAACAACAGAGGCAGTAACATCATTACAGTGCTCTCAGCCCAGGGCAACCCTCTCGTCACTGCCCTATGCCACCACTAAACCTTGTGGAGAGTCTGAGGACTTTGGGCTGTAACACCGCAGGACACTGGGGGCCAAGGGCAGACAGCAAGCAAGATGCTCAGGGCCTCTTTCAGCGCCTGACTTGCAGTGTTGCCTTCCTTACATTGCTTTCACTTGGCCATGTCTGCTCTCACAGCTGCTCCGCTGGCCTACGGGGGGGAAGGAAAGTAAGCTCTTGTGCTGCCCATTACCCTCCTCTTGGCCATAGAAACAGGTGAAGCTGTGCCTGTCTTCATGCCACCAGCAAAGACGCCAGCAATCTTAACGCAGCCAGAACTGGAGAGAATTTATGGCCCAGATCCACAAAAGTACCTGCCTCTCAGTGACTCCAGGAGGAGATAACACATCCCAACACTTTTGTCAATCTAGTTTTAATTCTCCCCTTTTCTCTTGCACAAAAGCACTGTAAGCTAAAGCATTAAGTTTCCATCAGATACAAGGTAGGGACAAAATTTTGAGGACAGAAAATTTTAGTGATTACTTCATGACTTTTTTGTCCCCACCACGCCACTCTCTGCTTTGTATTTTTTGCTCCTCTTCGGCGTAACTGAGAAAACTAGAGAAAGTAATTCCCCCAGGCACACAGTGCCCTTCCTTCTCAGCCCAGCAAGTACCACCAGATCATCCTTCTGAAACCACAGATTAAAAAAACCCTATCAGCCTCTGCACTGCTCTGGAGCACATTTCCCTTCAAAAGCCTGCTGCCAGCCGCACTCTGGTGAGCTGGCAGCTGCCCAGCTGCTGGGGAGGGGGATTTGGGAAATGTATTCCAGGGGACAGCTCAAACTTCATCCTCTCATGTACTTCCACGGCTTTCCTCCCCACCCCCCCGAGACCTCCATTTGTATTTGTACAACCACTTAAAAACACGGTTTGGGGGTTCGGGGACGGTTCTTGCTATTGTAGCTTGACCTGAGCACGGAGGGTGGGCAAGCGCGCGCCACAGTATAGAGCACGTGGCTCGCACCTCGCTGGTGAGGGGTGACGCTGCCCCATCCACCCTGACCAAGTACACAGTTCATCTGCGACTGTAGGAACTGCCTTTCAGACAGGTTTTTAAAACGGATCAGTCAGTGCAGTTTAGCTGCCAGCACTGATACAGTAGAGCTCTTCTGTGCTGCCTACAATATAACCGGGGCTGGCAGCCTCCCCAAAACACAGCCGTGCCTGGAGATTTCCTCACCGTCCACAGTGCCCACGAGTCAGAGCAGAGGTGGAGAAGCAGCAGCAGCTCCACCATGTGCTCCTCTCACATGGAATAGTCCCCCCCTGCACACACATCCACCCCGCTCTCCCACTCCTGCCACGGCTTACTCCGGTCTAACTGCAGATGTGCCCGTGGTTGCCCGCAACAATCTGTTTCTTTTCATAAATTATTGAGTAATGTTTGCAGAACATAAACCAGTTAGGACATCTTGCCTGGGGACAGACATCAGCAATCCAGAGATTCAGAGAAAGCAAAGCTAAAGGATGCTGTCACTACAGGACTTCAAAAGGGTACCAGTGTCTCTCCCCCTCCTACCACACATCCAAAATGTGCAACGAAGTAAGCAAGCACTGTGCAGCCTGAACAGAGTGGCTACAGTTTATGCTATACTGCCTCATCTGTTCTTTGCACCAGCTGCTCCTGGAAGGAGGTGCCACTGAATTGTTTCTCTCTTCCTCTGATGCTCTGGAAGAAAGACAGAGGGCATTTTTTTAATTTAATCTTGGCTTTTTTAGCAAAGGGAACAGGGCTGGATTGTTTTGTACTGGCACTTGCTACCTTCTCATCTCATGCCCGTCTGGCTGCGCAAGCATGGTACAAGACATTACATGCTGAAATAATATTTAGGTTTGCAGCTGGGCTCATTACTGCTGTAATTTAGAAGGTATAGGCAGTCACCAGCATTTCAAAATACATTCAATTTTCAATAAAGAGGCAATTTCCACAGGGCAATGACCATAAATGAATGACAGTGTACCCAAGAAGAACGAACAAAGCTTCCAGTCTGTCAAGAATTTGCCTGATGTGTCATCCCAGTTTAATTAAGGGAAAAAATTTACTGTAAGAGACAGGAGAGCAAGTCAACTCTCCTACAAAGGTGCCTCCTTTCCTTTGTGCATTAAAAATAATCTCCCTTTGTTTTGAATTACTGATGTACAGGCAGCTTGTAGCAAATCATTCTCCAGAATTAAATAGATGGCTGAAAAATATGAGCCAAATTTATCTTTTATGCACTGGATAAATTTGACTTTAGAAGATTTGGGGGTCTTTCAAACCAACCTCAGCATATCAGCTGAATATTTCCTGCAAATTTTGTGCCCTGCAGGCACTGAGCCAACCACAATACAGGCAACTCTCAGCTCTCCGGCAATCAGCCATGGTGGCCACGCTTTGCTCCTCGGCCCCAGGGGCACAGAGCTGTCACCGACCAACGCTACCCTTCCCAACCTTGCACTGTGCCTCCGAAGGTACCCAGCGAGCCATGCCCCAGAGCCTGCCAGACAACAGCTTGCAGCCAAATAAGTTTCTTCCACTTCTGTGGCTTCAGTGAAAGGGTAAAAAGCTTTCTCAAGTCTTTGGAGAACTGCTTCAATCTGAATCAACTTTTCTGTCTGAGGTCTAGTGTCTCAGCACGTTGAGGGATGCTCCGTGGACATCACTTACACCAGCTAAGAACCCATATGGTATTGTGGCCAAAATAATCCGTTTTCACTGACTGAATGATCCCACCAATGGCTAAACGTACAACAAAAAGGTACTATGTTTAAATCCAAGCATTTCTCTATAGTTCTGAAAATCCAGATACAGTAGCACCATGTTTGCATGGGAGAATGAGAAAGCTAAGACTGCTTATAAAATAAAAGTTGTGCTGTCTAGAGTACTCGTTCTGTCAAAGATGAGTGAAATCAGAAGAAACAATAAAAACAGTGAATTTTTCAAGAACATTGATTTCAGGGGGGTAGTTTTCTCCAGTTTAATAATCAAAGACACACACATACAAACAAACCGGGGACTGAGAGCCGTAGTTTTAAGCTGGTAATGTTCCACAAGGCAAATATATCGAAGTGCATTTATCTCTTCTCAGAGCAGATACGTAAAAGCGTTAGCCTCCATCATGCTGCTGTCCGTTAAGCAGGTCTACATGCAGGCCCAGAAAGACTATGTAGTACATGTATAAATATACATACCCGACTTGGGTACAGTCTCGATATGGCAGCACTGAAAATATGCTACAGAAGGATCTTCTGCTGCTGATAAGGACTATTCTAAAATATAAAAGAAAATAAAAGAAATCAAAGACTAAAATTTTAAAATCCCACCACAATAAGCAAAGCAACAGATGTTACCATTGAGGAATTCGTAATCATAAAACTTCCAGGACGGATGGTTTCTCCCTCCTCTCACAGGTAGGGTATCGCGCTACTGAGTCTTTACAGAAGTGCTGAAGCCTGTGCCATACGTTACACAGCGAATGAGTAGTGGAGTCCCATCCCCTCTACGGGCTCGCTAGGAAGACTATTCCGGAGAGATTTTTTTCTAGTGAAAGGAGTCCTAGTGAAATGAGTCCACCCAGAGAGGCACGGTGCTGTTCTGACAAGTCACCACTATGGCTGAAACTAAATGGACAAGCGCGGCAGCAGCCCAGCTGTGACACACACCACCAACCACGTGTGACACACACCACAACTCTGTGGCTGACTTGGAGTCCGCATTTATCGGACAAGAATTTCCAGCTGCTGGTCATGACCTTTCTCTGCTAAACCAAAGGACTCCCTTGACTTCCAGCTTCCTGTTCCTGAAATAGTCTGATTTGTGGAGGAAGTCAAAGTTTGCTATTATCATAAGGTTTCAGATCCTTTCCCTGTTTTCCAGGTTCCTCCTTCAGTCTTTTCCGTTTTTTCCCCACCACCCTTCTTGGTCTCTGGGCAGCATCACTGGCCTCAGCAGTTGCACAGATGGCAGATACAAACACCACATCTTTCAGTCTTACCTTTAAGATCAGTGTCTAGCTCTGATGACCCACCAGCCTCTGCGCTCGGTAATCACATCAGCCCTCTTGGCTATGATGTTGCATTGACACCCAGGCATGACTGATCCCACAGCTCCTCACCCCTTCTCCTCCAGCACCACGTCTACCTCAGTCACTAACTGTCAGGGCTGAACCCCTCCTCCTGTAAGCATGGCTTGCCTTCATTCCTTACAGGCAGGTAGCTCAAGATTTGGCTACATGAAAGCATACATCATCTGCCTGCACTGACCTTATCTCAGAATCCAGGCCACTCTTACAGCAAACGCCTTGTATTTTTAACCCGTCTCCAAATCTCTGCATCATCTGCAAAGTCACTGTGTGGCATTAAATCACGTACCTTAGAGCAACCTATCTGTTTTAAAGCCACACTATCACATCTAGCCTTCAAGCTCTAACATATCATTATGCGACATCAAAACCATCTTGAGGCCAAGACCCACTTTCCATAGAACTGTGAGGACTGCCACTAGCTACAGTACTATAGTTTTGGGAGATGCAGATTGCCAAGAAGCCAAGAGAAGCTTGATCAAGATGTTAAAGATATAAAATGCCAAT